CCTGCCACAGCGCCCGGCCGCAGCCCTCATTCTTATTTGGCAGGCCCAGGCTAGATTCGAACCTACCAGCTCAGGTGTATGTGGCTGGTGCCTTAGCCGCCTGAGCCACAGGCGCTGAGCCTGAATTTTATTTTTTTAAAAAAGGACAGTCTGCCTCTCCTAGGCTCTGTTTCCCCTCCACCATCAGATGGAATATCCACTGTCAGATGCTCTGTTTCCCCTCCATCAGCACCCCATCCCCACTTTCCTCAAGAGCCATTTCTTACTCAATTCAGTGCGGAAGGTCTCCCGGGCTGTCCTCCACCCACAGGGATCTGTCTCTCGCTCCAGGCGGATGTTTTCCACCATTAGGTACATGACACTCAGCAGCACTCTGGGGTTACAGAAGGGTCACAAGAGGTTCCCATGGCAGTTACCAGCCCACAGTCAAGTGACCTCAGGGATGCTGTGTGGGAGCCCAACCCAGTGAGACTGGTCAGAGGGAAACTTCCTAGTGTTCTGAGTCATCTGGGGTTTGGGGAGAGGGCAACCCAGTGCTGATCATCCCCCTGTTCCAAGCCCCCCGCTAGCCCCACTCACCGGAGCTCTGTGCTGTCAGCAATGGAGACGGCTGGTTTCCGAAGGGCACTGCCACAGGCCTGGCTGCTGCTGTAGAGTGCAAGGCGGGTTGGGAAAAGGGCGAGAACGGGAACCTGTAAGGCTTTTTCCTCTCTGTGCTCTTATTTATCTACACATAAACCTGAGTGCCTGCCATTCCCTGGCCATACAGCACTAACAAAACTAGTCTAAAGTAAAGGAGCACAGCAAACTCCCCCTGTGGAGACAGGCAAGGGCAGGGTCTGTGGTATCTATTTCTCTTGCAATCCCCACAATGCTTAGTACTGTGCTGGATACAAAACAGATGCTAAGCAGCACCAGATGAATAATAACAGATTTTACCCATCTAAAACTCCTAGGTCTTGAGCATGAGACAAAACAAGGAGTCATGCAATGGTATCAGTAGCTCAGGTCACCTATAGGGCTATAACCCATGAGGGAAAGAATTAGACACTAGGATAGGATTTGGTCCCATCCTTCCTATGACATGCTCTTAAGTAGAACAGTTTCCCCTATGAATTCTAGACTTAGGCTGAGCTTAGAAGGTCTTTGGATAAAAAGGGAACCCACCCAGGATAGGCCTCTGAAGCCCAGGATTGAGGCTATAAGTGAGGCAGACACTGCTGCTGAGCCCAACCTCAGGGACAGAGAATAGAATATTGGGGAACATGGTCAGATGGAAGGGTGCTGTCAATGGGCTTTGGGCTGAGGTGTGAGCAAACCCAGCTCCCCACAGGGGTCTCTAGTGAAGAAACCAGCAAAGAACAAGAGGCCCATCCAAGGAAGGGGGCTGTCTAGGCCAACTCTCCCCTAAGGCTCCTCACTCGATTTCCATGTGGAGTAGCTCCAGGAAGGCCGAGAAGGTCCCCATCTGATAGAGCAGGAAGCAGTTGTACCTGGACCAGTGTAGCACATCGACCTCTGAATCACATTCCCCAAAAGTGCCTAAAGGACCAGACAGTTGCCATAGGGGTTGAAGGGGAATGGTATCTTAGTTCTTTCCACCCTGTCCCATGATATCAAGACTATTCTGTAACACCCTGCCCAATAATTAGGCTGACAGAAGTATGTCAGGGCCCCCAAGAACTTCCTGGAATACATCAAGGGGAGGTGAGGCAGCCTCCAGGGTTATGTCCAATGTACTCAATGGTCTGTCTTCAGTGTGAGATCCCCCAAAAGCAGATCCTGAGATAAGTAAGGATCCAAGTACAAGTAGTTTATTTGGGAACTAAACCCAGGAATCATCAGTAGAGAAGAAGGAAAATGAGAGGGAATAAAAAGCAGCCCAAAGAGTTCAATCTTAGGGGAAGCTCTGGCAATAGTATTAAACAAAAATCTCACAGTTAACCCATCCAAAAGAGGTGACACAGTTGGGCCATCTACCCACTAACTCCTGCTAGTCACTGGATGAGGGGTGCTAAACTAGGGAAGCACATTAATTCCCTATACTTCCTGGCTGCTCTGTGCAGGACAAAAATACAGAACTGGCAGTTGGAAGCCAGCCAGAGCATCAGACCCAACAGAGATGGGTGGCTACTGTCTTATTAGTCTTACCTTCATCCAGTGTCTGTCCACCCTCTTTCCTTTCCATTTCTTTTTTTACTTGTATAATTTTTTTCTAGCTTCCACCTAATTGGTTCTGCCAACAATCATCATATTTATGATCTCAGAGCTTATTTTCACCACGCCAAGTAGGCCATCTCATTTCTTGTTCCACACCTGGCTAACAAGTTTCTTCTGGGAAGCTTTCCCCTATTAATCTCATTTAGTTATGATCATCTTCAAATTATTTACAGCATCTACTCCTGCTATGTTGGCTTGAACCTTTGAAATACCAACAAGAAACAACACAGAAGGGCCATGTGTGAATCTGTAACATTCCTCTCTCTCTCCTCAGTTTGGGGGCCAGGCCACAGCTGATGAAAGAAGTCTCCATCCTCAGCTGGTGGTACATGGTCAGCTCTGGCCATACTGACTCCCTTACTCATCTTCAGATATGATTACAGCTCGAGGTAGGGTGGAAAGGAACACTATACAAAATCCTGCCAGGCCTGGTAAGATAAAGGCAGATCCCGAGCGATCCAGAACAGCACTCAACACCATCTTCCTCATAAGTACAGGCTACTCTGAGCACCTGATGAGCTCTGTCCTTGAAAGGCAAGGGACTTTGCTTTCCCAGCATGGCCCACCTCAACCCAGTCCTGACAATGCCATTTTTCTCCCCAGCCTCCAAGCCTCAAAAGCTAGCCAAGGTGGTCACTTACCTTGGGCCAGATAGAGAACAGCCCGGGCCACCTTCAGACGCCGCTCCCTACTGACCACCTCCAGCTGGTCTAGCAGTCCCATTAAATAGGCCTTTTGAGCATCTTCCTCCAATTCCAGCCATTCCTTGCCCTGGACTGGAGATAGAAGGCCATTCACATCCAGTTTCAGTCACTGCCACCTGCCTGGGGAGGCTCCTGATAGCATTGCCCACCTCTGATCTCAGCCCTCAACAAATTCTTCCCTCCAAAAGCTTTCCCTATTTCACTAAGAAAGAACAAGTGATGGGAAAAGTAAAGGACCCAACATTTTTTTGTCCTGAACCCACTCTGTAGTCTCATCTCCAATGTCCCTTGTGTCTTCTATGTACGGTCTATACCAGGCATCCTCAAACTGCAGCCCACCGAGGACATTTATCCGGCTCGCCAGGTATTTTTGCTGCCACTGCCTGTCCTGCCTAGCAGCCAACTCGTCCTGGGACCTGCAGTCTGGCCCTCCAACGGTCTGAGGGACAGTAAACTGGCCCCCTATTTAAAAAGTTTGAGGACCCCTGGTCTATACTATCCTATCTCTGCATATCCATCCCTAGTCATCCCTATGGGCCCAATACAAAATCACCTCTTTCCCACTAATGCTCCGGCCAAAAGCTCTTCTCCTAAGATACTTTTAAAACTTTTCTATGATTTTTGGCATTTTTCTCTTGGCCTCAGCTAGTTCTCGATGCACATATCTCCCCTCTCTCCCAGACTACAACCTCTTTGTAGAAGCTGCTTCTCACCCCACCTCCTATATCTCTGACACAGAACAGAAATTCACCAGACATTTGTTGAATTGAAAATTGAATTGTCACAGAACAAGTAAGGAAATGAAGGTCTGAGAATGTCACAGTGTGAGCACATAAAATTACTTCTGAGAGTGGGGCAGAGTTGGAGGTACACATTAAGGTCAAAGGTTTTATCAAGCAGCCTTGACTCACTACCTCTGCTCTCCTGCCCCTTCGCACTGGGGAAAGGAACTTGGCTCAGACTTCTCCTGCTTTCACCCCACGGAACAGAGCACCCTGTATCCCATATGCAAGAAGAGGAGAGTACATTGTTATAGAGGGGATAAAGATCATGCTTTGTTTTAGCCCTTTACAGGATCAGGCTGGCATATCATAGAAAGGAAAAAGAACTCTAGGAGCAAAGATCTGAAATCACCTTGCATCTTGAAATCTTCTTCAAAGCATCTCCTGTTATTGGCAAATTCCAGGTTCTCAGTGTAGCTATACAATTCTGTGGCAAAAAGACATAACAGTCACACTCAGGAGATCCCTAAAGAAGGGGCCTGAGGTAGAGAGGATGGTGTGAAAGAGCTGAAGGTTCCAACACATTCCTGTGTCCAATTCAATCCAAAGCCAGCTTCCTCCCTTTCAGAGCAGTTAAAAATAGCCACTTGTGTCCCTGGGTGATTAAACCATCAAACCTGTCCTCCTCCTGCCAGCTGGCTTCTGCAGCAGAGAAGGCAGCTTTCAACATTTGGTGAGGGCCAGGATGAGGGCTAGAGCACAGACCTTATTGTCATCAACTCCTGTTTGTCACGCAAGTCCTTCTGCCTTGTCAACCTAGACTGGAACTATCCTATCCCTGGAGAGCAACACAACTTCTGAAATTTAGAGGCAAGATCTCGTGCTGTTCAGGAAGCCAGAGCCAAGGCTGAAGAGTAAGTGCTAAATGGCTCTTCAAGGTTGGAGTTAGTTCATTCTCTCCTTCAGTTGACTCAAAGGTGTAGAAGTTGAGGTCCCTGCCCATATAGAGGCTGCATAAAAGCATGGAGAGAACAGCTGTGGTTGCCAAAGGGAAAGTTAACTTTGTGCCCAGGGAAAGTTAACTTTGCTGATAGCAGCCTCTTAAAACAAAACGTAGAAAGCTTATGAGAAATAAAAATGCCCTTTCCTACATTAACCCTCGATGCACATTATCTCCCCTCTGCTCCCAGACTACAACCTCTTTGTAGAA